GAATATTTTTATTCATTTAGAGATTGCTTCACATGATGCAATATCACTCTTCGGGGAATGCCTGACAAGGGCAGACATTTTAAACGATACATATTTTTCAAATTGAGAAGGAGAACTGTGAAAAATGGATGGGCCATATGGCAGTCAGTTGTAACTCAAGTGAAGTCACAGTCAATGTAATGGACCACCTGACAGCACCTCTATCAGTCCCCTGATAGAGCCTCCCCAGAGTGCGGAGTCTAAGTACCGGAGCACTTGTTCACCAGGGCCCCTGATGGTGGGGATGGACTTGGAGCGCTCCGGGGCCAGGTCGCAGCTACCGGGTATCTCTACCAGAGGTAGAGGAGTCTGCCAGAGGCTCCTGTGGGTTAAGAGTCTGATGTGAGGGAGCCCGGGGATCCCTGAGGGATGGATGAGCAAGATCAAACAGGCCGTGTCGGTAACTAGCGGGTCGGTGCGGTACAAGACGATAGGCAAAGGATAGTCGGGTCACATGCAGGGTCAATACCAGAAGATCAGATCTATAAGGGAGCATCCAGGAGCAGAGTCAGGCAAGCCAAGGGGTCAGGACAGGAGAAGGCAACAAGGTCAGACAATCCAGATCAGAGTACTCACAACACAGGCAACAGGATACGCAAAGACCATTCGGCAACAAGTGTCTGTTCAGGGCTGGTTTAAGTAGCCCGCCCTGCACCTGGCAGGGGCAGCCTAGGTCCTAGTGCCTGCCCAGTACTGTCATAGACAACGGGTGCACCTGGGTCCTAGTGCCCTGCTGCCTGCATGTCTTGACAGACACCTACGCATGTGTAGACCATGCGTCACGATGGTCCCTGACAGTCAATATCGTGTTATCTCTGTATTATGATGTATAAATTGTGATGTATAAGACATTGTGAAAAAGGTGACACAAATTCCAGCTGTGATGTGTAATAGCTCACAGTAACCAGTAAAATGTAAAGTACAACTAAAGGCAAAACTTTTTTTTATTTTACATAGAGTGCAGATGGATTAGAACACCTGTCCGGTTTTTATTGCTGCCTGTGTCCCTGTTTACCATTATCATGGAAAGCAAAATTAAAATAAAATCTAAAATTTTGGGTTGTCCCCAGAACAGAAATAATGGGGATATCTTCCAATGGGAACACTAGTCCTGTTAACCCTAGTGACAACCACAAATCCCCTCACTTTAGAGCAGTAGTTCTCAACCTGTGGGTCGCGACCCCTTTGGGGGTCGAACGACCCTTTCACAGGGGTCCCCTAAGACCATCAGAAAAAACATATTTCCGATGTGTAAAGAGCAGCTACTGTGTAGAAAGCAGCTGCTGTGTTGGAAAGCAGCTACTCAGTATTGGAGGTAAAACGACATTCATGAATTATAATTACTGGGTAAATCATTTTATGGTTGGGGGTCACCACAACATGAGGAACTATATTAAAGGGTCACGGCATTAGGAAGGTTGAGAACCACTGCTTTAGAGGGATTTTCTCTCATTTCCTGTTTTGGCTATGGCACAGGACGTGAAGGAAGATTCCCCCATAGATGGCATAAATAAATCTTACAGGGGTTATCATACTCCGTTATGCTATTGAAAATTGAACACAATTTGAATTTTAAAACTTTAATTTGACTGTAATTACGGATAACATAACGGATATAATAAAATATGTAATATAAGAGGTGATTTTTGATTGGTTATTAAAGGGTATCAAATTCTGCTCAGTAGTTCCTTGGACACCCTAAATGCCATTTTATTGAATATTTTGTGTTGGGGTGGGCTTATAATATGGTACCACATCCTATGAAATCACACCAACTATCTTGCAGCATTCTGCACAGCAGCTCACTACATAGGTTGGTACCTCCTCCCCCCACCCAGAAAAAACAGCGCCATATATCTGACAAGTATTTTGCCAACCAGACAGATTTTATGTTTCAATATTTTTATTGAGTTTTCAAGGATAAACATGGAAGAACAGGGAAAAGAGATAAGGTTAAATCATACAACATTACAGTAGACAAATATGGTTGATCAGTTTGTTGTAGATCTGCCCTCTGGGCAGATGGGGTATTAGTCTTGTTTAGCAATATCATCAGAGGTATTCGTGTGCCTTTGAAGGGCCTTGGTGGGGAGTTAGGGGGATTGGGGGGGGGGGGGGGGGGGTGGAGAGGTGGGGGGGTAGGGTGGGGTGGGAGGAATATAACTGGGGAATTGAGTAGATACCAGTCTTAGTGCGGGGTGTGAGTTCATTTCCTGAGATGTCATCAAGGTTGTATATTACATTTAGGGTGCTTTAGCCATCGGGTCCACTGGAGATTGAATTTGTGATAGGAGGAAGTGTCAGGAATGGACTTGCCAATAGTGGTGGGACTCACCTGCCTTGTGGGTTGCAGTACCAGGGCTGGCCAGCGGGTGTTCTCAGCAATCAGAGACTCACCCCTGCAATCAGCCAAACACCTGAAGCTGATTGCAGGGGTTGTATTTAAGGAATGGCCAGACTCACAGTCAGGGCCTTGTGTGTGTTTTTCCAAGGGGCCCCTGTACCTTGTATCCTGTATTCCTGTTCCTGTCTGACTTGTTGCCGACCCTGCCTGATCCTGACCTCTGCTGACTTCTCCTGCTTGATCCCTGGCTTGTGACCCTGACCATTCTCTGCCCGACCCTCTGTACCGCGCTGCCCGTGAGTTACTGAACCCAGCTTGTGACCCCGACCACTCTCCCGCCTGTTCCTGGTACTCCGTTTGCCCCTTTGCTACTGACCTGGTCTGCCTGACTACTCTTTGTATTGTATGTATTGTTATCGGTGGGTGGTTTGGTTTGTTTGCACTGTGTTTATGTTTAGTTTTGCACTGCGTTTTGTATTGTTAGTCTTAATAAATTATATTGTTTATACCATATCTGAAGCCTGCGTTTCCCTGTGTCAGTCCACACACACTCTGGTCATACCTGGAGCCCTGACAGGAAGTGTTGATTGCGGATAGTTTTTCCATTTGGCATTGAGTGTTAAGGTCTGTAATCAATGAGGTGATTGTGGGGGTATTGTTTGTGTTCCATAGTCTAGTAATATTAATGTTTGCTGCAAAGAGTATATGGGTATTAATTGTTCTGGAGCTTGGAGGGAGTTTCTCGATTCCAATGTGTAGGAGTGCTAGCGATGGGTTCGGGGCTAACGGAATTTTGTGTATTTCAGAAATTAACTGGAATGTAGTATTCCAGAAGGAACGAAGTGATTTGCATGACCACAAAATGTGGATTGTTGAGCCTGGCTCACCACAGAGTCTCCAGCAAGTAGAGGACTGTTTTGGGTAGTAGATGGAAAGCTTGACCGGAGTCAGGTACCATTGGTGGAGTATTTTTAAGTATGACTCCCAGTGGAAGCTACATCGGGTGATTCTGAAGGTATTTTCCCAACACTTTAAAGTTATTTGGGTTGAGAAGATTTTCTACCAATTGGTTAGGGAGGTTGTTTGCAGAGTGAATTGTGAGTTTGTGAGGTGCGTGTAGAAAGTGGATATACCCCTACCCGGGTATCGGGGTTTGGTGAAGAAGGTGTAGGCTGTGGTTGGTATTATAGTATTGTGGGGTAGATTATTTGTTCATATACAATGAGCGATTCTGAGGTATGTAAAATTTTCAGCGGTAGGAATATTGTATTTGGATTGAAGAGTTTGGAAGGGATACATAGATTGGTTGGTGTAGAGGTCCCTTATGTTGGTTATTCCTTGTTTAGTCCATTGTGATAGATCCAGTGAAGAAATGAGGAAGTGTAGTACGTTGGTTGGGGTGGATATATGTTTGGTGACCAGACAGATTTTAAATGCAGCTGATATTTTGTTAGGTTCAGTAAAGCTTTAAAAGGCTAAAATGTTCTGAAAAATCAGATAAATATTCTGCCAAACCTCCATTTTATAGTATTAACGCTACTTTCCTGTAACAGCAGTAGTTGAGTAGCTCCAACTATGAATGCAAAGACTGAAAGGCACTGGAGTTTGGCCAAGTACAATCTGTAATCTAACAGGCCTGGTCAGATACATTGAGCTCATACCTTTATTGGGTTACAGATATAGGGATTTCACTTTGTACTTAGCAGGAGTGCTGGAAGTTCGTTGAAAACTACAAGATGACAGTCGCTAAAGCTGTCGGGACTTGCAGTTCATTTATTCACAGAAGTCTGTGAATGAATGACGCGGTTGTGTGGGCGGAGCCCCACGCGGATTTGCTGTTTTCAAATTTGACAGATAGTACAGGGAGACTTCTCCCCGTACTATCTGTCAGGTGTAGGGGGGGGGGGGCTGCAGGCGTGGCTGCAGCTATGGGAGCACATTTCATGTTCCACCCTATCAATGGGTGGAACATGTAACATGTTCCCAAAGGTGAACTGATAACCACTTCAAGTCTGGACACTTTCACCCCCTTCCTGCCCCGGCCAATTTTCAGCTTTCAGCGCTATCACACTTTGAATGACAATTGCGCGGTCATGCAATACTGTACCCATATGAATTTTTTAGCATTTTTTTTGAGACAGATAAAACTTTATTTTAGTGGTATGTATTCACCGCTGGGATTTTTATTTTTTTTGCTGTATAAATGAAAATGTCCAAACATTTTGAAAAAAAAGTGTTTTTCTTATAAAATTTTGCAAATAAATAATCTTTCTTCATAAATCTTGGCCAAAATGTATTCAGCTATATTTTTAGTAAAAAGAAAAATAACCCAAATTAGTTTATAATCAAAAATTATACTTTAAAAAAAAAATGTTTTATATTTTTATTTTTATTTTTTTATATTATTATTTATGTTTTTTAACATACTGTCACCCTAGCAATACAGTGTCACCATAGTGACAATGTACTACTTGTGGGGGGTGATGATGATTTTTTTTTTTTTTTTTTTTTTTTTTTACACTGGCTGCTTATACACCCATAAAGGCTGTAAAAGCAATTATTTCTCCTTCTCTCTAGCTGCATTCTTGCAGCCATTGAGAAATACTGTAAGAGCGATTGATTGGTCACAGCTTGTCACATGGTACAAAGCTGTTGTGAATAGCCTTGTACCATTCACAGATTTCACACGTAGTAAGCAATGATGTCAGGAAGTGACATCGTGTTTACTACTATTCATGTGATCACTGATTGGCCTATCAGTGATCACATGATCGGGACCTCGTACAGAGGTCCCGTACAGCAATCGGTGGTACACGCGCTTCCAGGGAGCGGGCTTAGGCAGGGAATGCAGGTGGATATTTATAAACTGCCACCCGCTGCTGCACTGCTCCCGTCCGGCCGTTTATGTACATGGACCGGACGGGAAGTGGTTAAAGTGTATCTATGGTCAAAATTTTAAATCATATATTCATTTTCATATTTCATTTGTAGCCGATTTCTTTTAATCTGAACAATCTTGACATTTGTAAACCTACTTTAGGAAGCTCCCCGCACATTTACCCCTTGAATTCTGTGACACATATTCACTGTGACCTGTGAGCAGACACTGCTGTGTCACGCATTTCACAGAGCCTGCCTTCTGAACTCTGGAGGGTGAGGTGGAGATGTTAACAGATTTGTAGTTTTTTATATACTGCAGCATTATACCCAGCTTCTTAAAATCTGAACTGATTTATACGTTTTAAAACCTTTCTACTATAAGCTTGGTGTAAATATGATTATCTGTTATTATCTGTACATGAGAACTGCAAAGTATTACCACTTTTGTATACTGGAAGAGATTTGTACCATCTGTTCTGTATCTAAAAGTAGTGTATAACGGCCTATGTCTAATCAACATCACTTATATCACTGTGGACATTTAACCTCCCTGGCGGTATGATTATGTCAGGAATTTTGTACCAAAAGCGGTACCATTTTTTTGCATGGAAATATGTATTTTTTTATTGTAGGCTGTAATTTTTAGGAATAACTCACTGAAATCTGTCCGAACAAGAGTCTAGTAAACATCCCGGGTATGATAAAATTTGAAACACGAAATCATAAATTATAATTTAATAAATAATCATAAAAAATAATAATATAATAATAATAAATTTAATTCAATAATATAATCAAACCAAAAACACTGAAATGTGAAATATAGCGCCAAGTTCGCACATTGCTGAGCAAAGTCGCAAAATCGTTTTCAGTGTCTGATGAGGAATTTCCCCCACGAATCATTATCACTCAATTCTGCAAGTGGTTCTGATTTACTATCGCTGTTCTCTAGCCGATCTAAAACAGATTTTGACCTAAAGGGACGCTTTTTGGACGCCATGGACTTTTCTAAGTTTCCAGGCAGAAAGAACACACAAAATGCAGGCAGGGCGCCGGACAAAGCACTCGGGACAAAATGTATGTGAAATGCTTTGATACAGGAATGTTTTGCTATGAAATAATCGTTTTAAAAAAAAAATGTAATTTTTTTTTAATTTTTAAATTTGCCGCCGGTTCCGGCGCCCGTACGTCCTGACGTCACAGGGACCGGAACACGGAAGCCGGATGCCGGCATCGGCCGGAGGAGATGGCCGGGGACGCTGCAGGGGACACATCGCGGGGAGCGAAGGACAAGGTAAGCGCTGTAGGGAATCCCTGAGCAACACCGCATGGTAAGCCTGAGTGTAGCTCGGGGTTACCGCTCTTGGTACTGAAACTTTACCCCGAGCTACACTCGGGAATACCGCCAGGGAGGTTAAGGGTCATCATGCACCTAACAATCTGAATGCACAATCTATGTACAATCAACTTAAAATTTACCAACATTGTGTAATATGAGGAAATATCTAATCTATGTAATCATTTTCTATCCAATCAGGCAGGCATTTGCACTGCATTGTTGTTGGTAGATTCATTCTCATAGATTCTTAGATTCATAGAAGATTATACTGTATAACCAGGTTGTAATGTGTATGATAAGCTGGAGCCATATCTATTTCTCAATTTAGGCATGCCAGCATTTTGCAGGAACACCCTTAGTTTGCTGTCTCAGACCTGGGATAAAATTTTTTGGGGGGATAAGTGGCAAAGTGACATTATCTTTAGCCCCACTTTATAGCTGTGTCTGAGTGACAAATAAGGGTTCTTTAAATGAGATTCTACCTATTGATCATGCATGCAAATGAACTTCTGGCAGTTTACATCCACTCTTCCTGTGTAAGATCTGAGCAGGGAACTCTGGCACTGCCCGAGGGCCCGGGGTCAGTAGGGGGCCCCATGAGATTCCCCTGGTACCTTTTCATAGGCTTTTTTTGAGTGTGGGCAAGGACACAGGGGCTCCATGATCCCCTATTGCCCGGGGGCCCCGTGAGTTTTGAGTCCGCCCCTGGATCTGAGACTCCACTTGAAAGGAGATAAGATGGATTCTCTCTAAGAGAGTGCCTATACTCTGAAGGGCCTTGGGTTGAAAGTGGGTCCTCCTACCATGAGCACACTGTTCTCAGATAGTTCCCTAACTTAAATCTTTCAAAAATACCTGCCCAGTAACTTTCCAAATGCATTATTAGGTAGAAAAATCAGAATGAAGGAATACCTAAATCAGTTCTTAGGCTCCTATAGCTTTTCCTAATGATTTCCAGGACCATTCACAAACTATGAGGCTTTTATGTTGCTAAGTTGCAGTTCTCTGATTCTAAATTCAGGACTCTTTGAAAAAACAAACAAACAACCGTGTACCTCTAGTAACCACATACAACCAGCACTAGAAGGGATAAGAAAAATAATCAAAGATTTACAACCCATCATAACAGAGGATGGAACTCTGAAAGAAATATTCCAGCAACCCCCCCCAATACTGGCCTTCAGACAACCCCCAATACTGGCCTTCAGACAACCCCCCAATAGTGTCCTTCAGACAACCCCCAATACTGGCCTTCAGACAACCCCCAATACTGGCCTTCAGACAACCCCCAATACTGGCCTTCAGCCTTCAGACAACCCCCCAATACTGGCCTTCAGACAACCCCCAATACTGGCCTTCAGACAACCCCAAATACTGGCCTTCAGACAACCCCCCAACCTCAGAAATAAACTAATCAGTAGGAAACTTCCTTCTGATGATGATGTCACAAATAATGGAAGCAAACCCTGCAATAGAAAACGCTGTAAACTGTGCAACCAAATCAATCCATCAAAAAGTGTCCGACACTCAAAAGGGATCTTCAATATCTCCGGATCACACAGCTGCACCTCCAGTCATGTTGTGTACCTTATCCAGTGCAGAAAATGCAGCAAAGGATCTTATGTTGGCGAAACAGGACAGAAGTTGCAAACAAGGATGAATCTGCACAGACATACCATCAAGGAACATAAAGAAGATGACCTCTGCACACCTGTGGGACACCATTTCACACAACCAGACCACACAATGGGAGACCTCAATATTTTAGTTCTTAAAGGAAATTTCAAATCCATTCAGGAAAGAAAACTTTTGAACTAAGAATGATAATTCTATTTGACACAAGAGATAACGGCCTTAACTTGGACATGGGATTCCTCAACCATTATCCAACAGTTTTATGACTAGTAGCTGAAGCTTGACTCCCTCTGTGTGAGTGTAGTATCCCCTCCCCCCTCGCTTTTGCTGTATCTTATCTCTAGCCTCTTCTTTTTTTTTTTTTTTTTCATCCCTTCTAACATTCTGCTGAAACTTTGTGATTTGTACAGTACTGCTTGGACTTTGAAGAAGGGGACATACCCCGAAAGCTTGTCCTCAAAATTGTATGTTAGTGCAAATAAAAAAAGTATCACGGACAGTACTCAATTGTTTAGGACTCTTTGAAACACCTAGACTACGCCGCAGGAACACAACTTGTAAGAGGACCAAGCCCTCTAGGCCTCCAGGCCCTCTCAATGGGCACATAGTGTGCCTACCAGGGGTCTCTCTGACACAAGGAGGCCAGCTCGGATACCAGGGATTGGCTAGCTAACAAGACAGACAGAGCTCACTGCAAACCAACTCTATAATAGCACTTTTGAGTCCAATTAACAGAGTCTGGCATATAAAGTACTATAATACAAAGAACAACAGAGCAAAACATTCTGAAAAGCCTAAACAACATTTAACTACTTGACCTCTGGAAGGTTGTACCCCCTTCTTGACAAGGCCAAATTTATATACCGTATTTTTCGCTCCATAAGACGCACTTTTTTCCCCCCAAAAAAAGGGGGGGAAATGTCAGTGCGTCTTATGGAGCGAATATAAAGCGACCGATCCGATATTTCCGCCGCCACCATGTCAGAATACCGGGCCGGGCCGCTCAGCTGTTCTCTGCGGCAGGAACTCACCTGTTCCTCGGTCCAGCGCTGTAGTCTTCCCATGCCGGCATCTGTGACAGCTGGGTGCCCACTGCGCATGCGCAAGAAGCGCTGCGCTTTGTGAATGGTCCGGTGTCTTCTGGGACACATGACAGGTCCCAGGAGACGACGGGACCATTCACAAAGCGCAGCGCTTCTCGCGCATGCGCAGTGGGCACCCGGCTGTGAAAGCCAGGTGCCCACAGTATAGGAAGGAGAGCTCCGCGGAAGTGGAACTGTCAAATTCAGGTACCCGCTCCCCCTCCCTCCCTAAAGGTCTGCAGTGTCTGATCATCTGTACTGTCCGCAGTCTCTGGTCATCTCCTGTACTGTCTGCAGTCTCTGGTCATCTGTACTGTCCGCAGTCTCTGGTCATCCCCTGCACTGTATCCGCAGTCTCTGGTCATCCCCTATACTGTCTGCAGTGTCTGGTCATCCCCTGTACTGTCCGCAGTCTCTGGTCATCTGTACTGTCCGCAGTCTCCGGTCATCCCCTGTACTGTCCGCAGTCTCTGGTCATCTGTACTGTCCGCAGTCTCTGGTCATCCCCTGTACTGTCCGCAGTCTCTGGTCATCTGTACTGTCCGCAGTCTCCGGTCATCCCCCTGTACTGTCCGCAGTCTCTGGTCATCTGTACTGTCCGCAGTCTCTGGTCATCTCCTGTACTGTGTCCGCAGTCTCTGGTCATCTCCTGTACTGTCCGCAGTCTCTGGTCATCTCCTATACTGTCTGTAGTCTCTGGTTATCCCCTGTACTGTCCGCAGTCTCTGGTCATCTCCTGTACTGGCCGCAGTCTCTGGTCATCCCCTATACTGTCCGCAGTCTCTGGTCATCCCCTGTACTGTCCGCAGTCTCTGGTCATCCCCTGTACTGTGTCCGCAGTCTCTGGTCATCTGTGTACTGTGTCCGCAGTCTCTGGTCATCTCCTGTACTGTGTCCGCAGTCTCTGGTCATCTCCTGTACTGTGTCCGCAGTCTCTGGTCATCTCCTGTACTCCTGTGTGTGCAGTCAGTCTCTGGTCATCTCCTGTACTGTGTCATCCCCCTGTACTGCAGTCTCTGGTCATCTCCTGTACTGTG